CCAGTTTCCGTCAGGTGTCTGGCGATTGAAGGGCTTAAACTGCTTGGTCCCTTTAGCCGGAAGCTCCTTGGTACATATCCGAAGAATCTAGTGCAGACTTTTCTTTTGGAAACAACATATGAGGGTACTTGTCAATCTTTGGCTGCACTAAATAGGAGGATGTTAGGAGCAGCGAGACTATTTTTGCTGGAGGGTACGTCCTAGATCGGGCTGCGCTTAATCCTTTGTTTATGACTGTCATAATATCATCGCCTTTGGAATCGAACTTGATGAAAACTGGCTTCTTGCTAACCGTAGGTGCACCAGGTTTCGTACTTTCATTGTTTCCATATTTGTCAATGCAGCTCCGTCCAGCAATTCTCAAGCAGCATTAGTTCACTGTGTAATTGCATTGCTGAATAAGCCTGACAGAGATGAAGAGTGACTGAAATCATTGCATACAATGTATGTGTCATCTTATTATCTATTGTAGGCAGTTGTTTCGTCAATGGCAAACTCCACTTTTGTCTTTTCTAGATTGGCCATAAAAATATCAGATAACACGGGACCTAATGGAATTCTTATCATCACTCCACAAACGTATGCATAGTTTGTTGACTGTGCAACAATCCTCAAGCGAGATTAGCAGAATTGGTCCGCCGATCCAGTTCGTCTGAGTCTAATCTTTGGCTAAAAACGTGCTCTGTTCCGAGATCCACCTCGGTTTCCCTATAATAATAATATATATGCTAGCTGTATCTGTGCCAGTATTTCAGTTAGTGATATAACGTTGGTCGTTCGTTCTGAGATTATTGAGTCTTTGCTCATACTAATGGCTCACCAGCCCCTCGGTAAGTCATCTACTCATAAAATATTCAGTCAGCAATGCGTGCTAACTGTTCAAGGGAGAAGTCAGGATACTGTGTTTGTTGCTTATACACCAGGAGGGTCTGCATGCAACCTTAAAGTGCAGCTCCTCCCACTGTGCCTTCCCTACAAGCTGCTGGAGGTGCCGTAAGAAATGTGATGGCGATCTATCTCATTTGTTCTCCACTCGAAGCAGACGTTGTATACGCTGGTTTTCTGAAATAGGTGTATTAACCACCTCAATCTTAGGAACTGTGTGAGGTAGCTGGTTTGTTGGTGGAATGCAAGATAAGGTCCCGAAAACATCCCCGATAATCTCATAAAATAATTGAGAACACACCCCCTATTCCAACTGGTTTTGGACTCTATGCTAAACCTGCCGAAACAGCGCTCTAGTGGGGATGAACATAGTTCCTGGTTATGTCGATCAGATTCAGGTAGTCTTACTGTTGTAGTTACTAGAGAATTCACTTTTGCAGAAATATTGTTACTGAAGTCAGTCCCAGAGATTGGTAAATGAGACTTAATGAATAAAAAATGAAAACAAATAGTACATACAAGTAAAAAAATGAAATACGACTAAGAAAAACGAATATATAAATTTTAGTCAACTATAGTTGACTTATATGCAGTAAAATGCTCGACAAAAGAATGAAACGTGCTCACCAATTCGGCAACCCACTTTTCCATCAAGATAGACACTCAAATTATAGTCCCACAGCTCGTAATATTGTAGGAAACTAGTGTTGTCTTTAGACCATTATTTTCGGAAGCATGTTAGGCGGCAAGTGGAACGGGAAATCTACTCGGACACACTAAAGGGCACTCGTAGTTCGATAGGGGATGAAGTTCCTCCTATTCACTCATCACATCCTCCAGAATTCATCAATCATGCAAGCGAACATAACACACTGATTTGTAGAAACCATATGCTCTTGACGTCGCGGCAGCCAGTGGATGGACAATATAATGCTTACGATTTTCAAAGATGTATCAATTACCGGTATCTTAAAGGGAGCTTAGAGACACAATCACTCAGTAGCTATACCTCTTTTCCCTGAAGACGCGATTGTCCACGATGTGCTTCAATGCAAACCGATAAACGTGTCGGTCAGTGAGGTGGAAACTGCTGAGATCCGACTGATTTGATGGGCTCTTTTGATTTCCTAAAGATTCCATGAGGGCTGCTATGATTACTCAACCTATTTGGATAAGTTTGGCGCTGTGACCGTAAAGGAGGACTCATGTCCACTTTGCCACCCTTCTTTGCAGCTTCCCTAAAAGACGATGTCCAGTTTGCGAACCAGTGAATTGGCGATTTTGTGAACATCTATACTAGGTTTCATAAGATTCCACATAACATCGGGGGCTTTCAGGTGTCTGCATATGGTCATTTTTCCCACATATTTCTTTTCTGAACTTTTATCCATCGTTACAGTAAAACCAGTGTAATGCCGGGACTTCAGAGGCAACAAGCGACCTTCTGAGTTGTCAAGCAACTCATATGGATCTCAATGGTCCTGCGTGCCCCCTAAGAAGTTTTTGGACTGAGATGATATCGGTCGGGAAGCAGTGTACAGAAACTCTTTATGTAACCTAATTTAGCGCTCAACTGACTCAGTGAAACTCTTCAAAGAGTGGAAGAGGGTGGTTATCCACACGTCCTGGACGTTAGAAAACTGTTGGTTCCCAAAGATATATAGTGCAAGTATCTCTAAGGCCACAGACAGTGGAATGCCCAATAAGCATTCACTTAGGTATCTACTTTCACCGGAGAGACACGCTTTATGGAACTTGACATGGCTTCAAAGTTGGTGCAGTTTGTGCCACAAAACAATTGTCAGCCTGTGATGACCAGACAGAACGTTAGTATACGGATATTCCAGTCAGCGCAACCTGCATTGATTGTGAGAAGGCATTCGATTTCGCACCACATGGCGTTCTCCCTCAGAAGAGTGGCCAGACAATCGTCTGCTTTTTGTTACTCCTGAGGCTGACAAATCACATCAATTAGGGGGACCCTACACAGGAAGCAACCGATCTCGCTCATTCAACCTCAGGTCAGCATCAGGAATTTTACCGGGAGTTGATTTTTGGCCAACGTTGTTCTCACTGCACACGGGTGAATTCTCGGGCTGTCCCGGATGTTTAGTTCTACTCCTTCCTTGAGTTTCGGTCAGTAGGCAACTCGGCTACACATTAAGAGTTGGAAAAGCTGATGTTTAGTAAAAAGTAAATACGAAGGTATGAGATTTCCGGCAAATTGCATGTGCTTCATGACTGGTTCGGTGTCCGAAATGAACTAAACTGTCATCCTACTGAAGATGTATTAGTCTTTATTACTAAGTAGAGATATCACCCAGTGTTATCTTTGGGTCTTTTTCCTAGCTGTTAAAAGGATTTATTCTGATGTCTGCGAACTCATGTGAAAGTAAGCTTCAGAAGAACACTAGTGACTTGGACTGATTGTTCACCGAAGATTTCAGTTTCATTTGTTCATGCTTACGACCGACGATGGGTAGGAGTGTCAGAGAGTCATCATTCTCCTACATGAGTCACCTGAGACAGAGATACCAATAATAAAACAGCAGTAAGTGATGCACAGATTCTTATACTGGTGTCTATAGTAAAGGGTTGAAGGCGCGATCTGTGGGGGAAATTATGTTGCAATATTCATCAAATTAACATGGGCTTAAACTTCGAATTGGCGGCCTTCTTTTGAGGAACTGACTTGGCCGCGAACATCCCCTTTGAAATTGACTTCGTGTTGGCTGGACTAAGCTTCAATTTTGAGAATTCAGTTGAGACAATAGTGGAATTCAATTAGATTATTAGCACTACCATTCAGTGAAAAGACTATTACAATTGCTATAGGTTTGAGTGATAAGATACTAGGAATTTAAGCACCTAGGTAACTGGAATTTTCGATTCACAATTTAAGGAGTCTTTTCGATTTCTATGAGTCTGACATTCTATTAACTGCATCTATACTTTGATTGTATTGTTGCTTGATAATAAACACCATGAACTTGTATATCCACGTCGATCACGGATATTGAATGTCTGCCTCCAATTTAACCACTAATAAATGACTTCTCAAACCCACCAAACTGAGAGCCGATTCTACTATGGTTGGGAAAGAAATATCCACACAGTTGAGAAGACAGAAAATAATGTATTTTAGAAAATATTGAACAGTGCACAGCAGTAATGACCACAAACCATAGAGGTCAACGTAAAAACACAATTCTAATACTTCCATTTTCAGCCTGTATATCGATCTGCGTTTTACTTTTTTGTGATCAGACTATGATTTTTAGCAATCGACTCTTACATATAATAATTACCCAAATTACAAATCTATAACGCGTATGAGGCACTGCTGCAGTATGAATATTTATTTCGAAGACGCACTAGGAAGCAAGTGAAATAGGGAAACCTAGTCAAATGCATGGAAGGGTATTCATCATCCAGTATCGTCGGATGGATAGAGAGACTTACCAATCATTAGGAAGGTATAGTTCCTACTTGGTTACTGGACGTATTACTCTGAATCTCATAACTGACTTAGAATGAACGTATCTTTCTGTGCTAAATATACCCTATAATTGCTAATCGTTCTAGAAAAGGAAGCCCAAAGGGTAATGCGAAATGCAGCTTCAGAATATAGACACATTGCATTATGAATGGGACTAATGCACCTATTTATTGATGCTTAAGAAGTCACTACACGCCAGTGATGTCTTTACATATGAAAGGAATCCTAACATTTTACTACTAGAATTACAGATTTTTCTACTCTTAGACAAACTGCATATAAAGCAGTATGAGACAGAACTGCAGACAATGACCAAATCATCCTGCAACGCTGCTTCTACTGTCGTCTGATCTGCGAGGGGAAACTACTTCAACGGTCAACACAAACTTTAAGTACTTCCATATTCGAAGTCTGATCAGCTCACAGGCACTAAAACAGAAAAAAGTGACTTATGTGACACCTCCAGTCATTTTACTTATCTACAACAAAAAATATTTTGTTTTTCCAAACTGACATTACCCAGAGGACGCTAGTATGCGGATGTTTGATTTCGAATCCAGGGTTGCTGTTGCTGTGGCTGGACATTTAGTACAGTAACTAGCGTCAAACTCTGAATATGAGAGTTAGTGGGAAGATACAAATTATTCGTAGAGATGGTACTTGTGGAGAGCCATGTAATTGGCATACTAGTCAATGTACAATTGGCAGGTAACTCTTAATTTTGTTCTTGACCCTGCAGCAGCGAAGCAAAATGTGACATACGAATTGTACATCCATCTGTGGCCCCCATACATTGTGAGCTGCACTTGATAGAAAATGGTTACGTTCTGGCCGTCAGCAAAGTGAACGAAGATTATATAATGCTCGTGGACAATTCCCCATTAGAAGACTGGTGTATATTATCCAACAATTCAGTTCTGACTGTTGGAGAGCGTCAGATACGATTCATGTACCCACCGGTAAGTCTGCGTCACGAGCAACTGATTCCAAGTTTTTTTCATTTATACTTGATGACACCAAATATTTATATTGATGTTATCTTTAAGTTTATTCTATGTGGACCTGTAAGCTTTCGTGCAAGTAAGTACTTCAACGTCCTGCGTTAATGAGGAGTGGAATGGATGTAGAGAGAGGCTGGGTGACTAAAGTTAGGAGTCTTTGGTGCCTAAGGGTTTTGTATGGTGTCATAGTAGCGATTTTGGCTGATTTTAGTATGGTAGTCATTGTAGTATTCCTAAATAAGAGGCATTGTCTCATCAGAAGTCTACTGTCTGTGCTTTCCATGTACGTTATTTGTGTAGCTCTGTTGTGTCAGCCGTAGTGAGTAGTCGGCGATTGGGTTTTACTTAGGTGCGGTGAGGAGAACTATGATCACACTATGGAAGTACGTGTGGACATGTAGTGGGGGTTATCATGACAAGCAGTAAAATGCAGGTCGAGTCAACAGAAAATTCACATTTGGTTTTATTCTTTATTCTTCATTCTCCAAGCTCATTTGCAGTGCTGAAATGTGTTTGGTTTCACACTCTAGCGTGTTACGGCTGTACGTGGTAAAAGTAGGTGTAATAGTTATTCATAATACAATTGGTTACTGAGAACGCAGCAAAACCAATGAATGTTGTTAGGATACTGCTTTCGGCAACTTCATTAAGCTGTATTTCCACATTATCTAATATAGAATTACATTTCACCACGGTGCCAAAGTCCTACACCTACACTTATCATTAAGCTGTTTTTACAGTGATCATTTTCTAATTTTTAACAACATTTTGTCTTACATACTTTCTCACGGATAAACGTGAAGAGAGCAAGAAGAACAAATGTACCGTGATAGTATGAGCTAGTTGCTCGATACATTGCAAGTTTTCGACTACTTCCCGCTACGGAAATACACCGAAATTAAGAAAACGGTCTAACGGGCTTCGTATTAACAAAAAATGTTTGCTAAGTGGCGTGTGAAGCAAAAGCCAAGAATGGCACGTTTCAGCTCTAAGCTGAGTACGTAATGGATAATAAGATGAGTATTTTTTCAAAATAAGCAGTTCGGATTTTATATAAGAACGGTGTCAAACTTGGGAGAGTATGTCAGCAATATAGGTCAGGAAACTTGGAGAATTTTTTTTGAGCAGGAAGAAAGAGTAAGCTGGGTGATGCTTAGATGAAGATATGAACTTCTCTAGACAGAATGGAAGAATACATGATGTAGGGAAACTGCACATTTCATGAAAGTCCAATCAAAATTGCAGTTTTCTGTTTTTCTGGGTAGTTAGATTTGGTTGTAACTGTTTGGAATTTGCTTCAATCAGACGTAACTCTCTAGGCTTTAGCTTATCGATTATTTCTGATGCCTTCAAAATTTTCACATTATGGCCAGTGTCTGATAATCATTCATTTACCTCTAGTTCCATATATCAATTCGCATGTACATGCCAAGGCGCATACATTGAAAGGAGAATAGGCTTGTTGTCCGAGTTTTCGGGGGCCAAAAATTCGACTACTACACTTGGCCTCTAAGCATCACGGTCATACCCCAATTATTGGTAGACCGAAAATATCAACGTAGGAGAGATGTTGAGGATCAAAAAATCATTTGGTATTTCGAGTGCCTATGAAGTGCAGAATGGTAATCTCTAGTGTCCATAGTGGCTGGGTTTCCCCTTGAAGGTACACAATATTATGAAGTAAGAGTGGTGCCGATGGCGGCAAAGCATTTCTCCAATTTGTAGTGTCTCAGCGCTTAGATTTGGAACATCTCTCTGTGGTCTTCGTGAAACTAGAAGGCAGTCGTTAAAAGTTTTAGTGAACTGGTGTTGTGGTTCACTGGCATAGGCGGTGGGGCAGAGGTACTATGCTCTCTTCATTTATGGAGGTTTAAGCGACCACCAGGTAGTATCAATCGCCCTCACATCATGAGTGTGGTTTATTGTGACATGCATTGGAATCCAAGTGATGTCTAGGTAACCGTGCAGTTGTTGTCATTCGTTCGGTGAATTGGCACAGCAATGTTTTCTCATGTCATCAGCCATTTACACTCTTTGACTTCTATTTTATCATCCATACTCTTCTAATATTTGTGATTATCTCAGATAAAGAGTATGCAATTTCAGTTGACTAATCACTTGTTTTTGGTAAGATGGTCATCTGTGTAGTATAGTTGTTAGTTCAGAGGCTCCATACATCGTGTCCTCTTGGTAATTTTGTGCAGCAAGATGGAAAGAGACCATTCTTTACTTCACAGTTTTTCGGCAACTGACATATGATCTAAATCATATATGTAAATGTATAACATACTTCACAGTTATTTCAATTCAAAAGGTATTTTACGATTCTTAGCATAATAATAGAACAAGAATTATGAATTCAAGTTAGTTATTGGTTGAGAAGCCAGAGTTAATTTGTACAAAATATGGTATGGCAGGGGAGAGTTCAAGAGTAAAAGATTGGAGTGAAAAGATACGGTGAGCAAAGTAAGACTATTATGTAAGCAAACAGTTAAGTATATTGGAAGACTAATGACTCAAATGAACTTTTAGACTGTTAGTAGCTGACGAAAAACGGTCAAACAGAAAATGAGCTCTTATCTTTATCCATTCTAGGTTTGAATTGTTTTCAAAGGTGGTGAATGAAATGAAATAATTCTGGTGTATGTTCGTCACGTTTAAGGTGGATTTCTTGTGTTTTGGTTGGGTATATCTGTATCCTCTGACTTGTTTTTCTCAGTAATCAAAGTTTTTATGTGTGTGTGGGGTGGGGGGCAAACAGTAGTAAGTGATAAAAGAGAAAGAAATGTGGAAATAAATCAGTAGCAGGCGATATCCGTCTAAAGATTAGAGTCAGTAAAATAGTTGGTCTTGGAAATTCCTCAGTAAGTGGAACAATCTCTGAAAGGGATGAAATTTCAAGAGGGAAGGTTGGAGCACTGGATAAAGTACTTCATCTAGCCTATAACTGCAGTACATAGCTTACCACGCAACCCCAATCTAAATGAGATGTGGGCAACCATACTATAAGTAACATCAGTGTTGCTATATGCCTTCCTTAACCAATAATGATGCGAAACAGCAGGACTTGGTAGTTTGACTCTACAGGTGTTTAATGTTATAGTAAGGGACTGTAGATTAGAATGTTGGTTAAAAGTGTAGTTATTTGGGGTAGTTCCACGCAACTCATCACAAATGCCTAGTTATAAAATAAGCATTGTTATAATCACATGGATAAGCTTGACAATTATAGCGCCTAAGGTTTTAAGTGAAGACTAATTCTGGTGTGGGAAAACATATGAGAGTACCTGGCAAATTTTAGGCCTGGTTTACCATGCATGGTTCAAGCCTTCATTCCAGGTGATTATGATAGTTTACGTCAGTGTTTACCCTTGGAGGGAGTGTTATGAGAGTGTGTAATGCTAGACACAATTTTGACTTCTGCAAACTTGTAACGAGACCATAGAGATTTTTGTCAGAGGTAATGCCAAACAGTAGTGCTTGTAAGTGTTACCAGGTGTCATTGTCCATATTCAGTTTTCTTAGTAACTACATACAAGTTCACTTGTTTTTCAAATCAGGAGAATTGCTGTGCTAATCAGAAGGTCTTGTTAATCAAGAGTAGTAGTCGGATGATGTAGACGTTATAGATATTGTTGACGAAATTCAGAATGTTAAATAACCCAGATGAAAGTTGTTTAATAATGTCTGCCATGCATTATACTCTTGTCAAATGTAATATGGTGTTACAGAACTGGTCTGCGCAAACTTTTTGTTTATAGATAAGGAGTGAAGTGATCGAATGCATTTACCGATTCACATTTTTAGAAATTTACATCAACTTCAGTGAGCTTATTGAATTACGAGATCTCATCACGAATATATAAAAGGCTTATTTGGCATCTGATAACACCAACGTAGTATCCTCCTACTTGTTAAAGTATGTGTTTGTTGAGCACTAGTTGTCACTTTCATACACTATAACTGTAAAACATGGTCATTGTAAATAAAAGACAAAAGTATTTCAGTCTGTCACGCATGTTAAGTCTCACAGAATTACAAGTAGTGTTGAGCTGAGATTTAATGTCAGTTAGGACCAGTGAATTAAGATTGAACTGGTGGTCAGAACATTATGTGGGATCAAACGGTGAATCCATTGACTGTTGATCTACACTTCCACGTAAGAGTGTAGATCAGGTGGGGGGGGGCGTCCTCGTGATGTTAACAATCAGTGATGAGATATGTTCGACTAAGATGGCATAAAGTCATAATGCCGTATAAACATGTACATATCCACATTGTCAGTTTTCAGCGTCTGAAAAGCTTTACTAGTCTTCGGTTGGTTATTCGTTGCGTCTTACCCCCTGCTATCCGTTATATTGTTTGTTTTGAGTTGTATCAACTTGATTTCATATACTTTTGTGGTAAGGTACATACTGACCAGTGAATCAGGTGTCGTGATTATAGTTTTTTATATTTTATATTCACACTGTTGTATATGCAGCGCTGACTCCGGTCACGCTTGGCATGGGCAATAACTGCTGTTATAAATTAATGCGTACAAAGATGAACAGTTTTCGTGATTCTAAGACAGAATTTGTGGTAATCGTCCAACTTTTGTTACTAAGGTGATCTTAGTTAACAGGTATTCAGATTTCGAAAGACGCATGGCATTCATTCACAAGTAATCTAGGATGTATGTGGAAATGAAGTTCGCTTAATTATTGTCAATCTTTTACATTTTTTGATCTAATTACCAATAATCTGTAGTCTTGCGTTTAATAGTTTTAAGAGAGCAAATATGTCTAGTCATATTTCCTGGTAATTGACAAATAGCCATGTTTGTCCTATTCGGAATACAAGTTTAACACAGAATGCTATTTTGTCAACTAGACCGTTAAGCCGTACTCCTGCTTTAATTCGTCTTGTGAATACCGATCAGGAATGAATACTTATTGTCCGTTGCTTTTCTGTGGTCTTTCTGTTATCATTTAGTTATGTGGTGCAGATAACTTTTTCAAGGTACATATTTTTTAGGGGATTTAATATATCTTAATATGACTCAATGGTGTATTTTCTTCTCGTCTTTAGGTTACATACTCTAAGACTCTGTAGTCGACAAACGTGGCTCAGTCTGTTGAACCGAGTCACTTGGCAAGTGTATTTTCTGTAGCAACACGTCTCTGCTATGTAATAAACTACACAGCCTATTAAATTGTTCATTTTTCCATGAATTCTTACTGATAACCTACTACCAATTGGCACAGTTTCTTTTGTATATATGTTGACAGAGTTTCACTTAGTTTCCAATGTTGTAGGTTCTGTGATGATGGAAGTACTTCCAAGTCGCAAAAAATAATGATGATTATTGAAACTAATGTACATTTGATTTTGTTTTTTTGATTTTTTCTAACTTTCCCCTTGTTTCTGTTTAATTCAGGGAGTTATAATGAACACAAGTGTGTCTGAGATTCTCAAGAAGACACTAAGCCGAATTCTCAAAGGAGAAGAAATTTCTACTTCTATCTCTCTACCATTTGTTTATCAATCCAAACGAACAGCCTCTGTAAATCGACCAACTACACCTATCACTCACTCACCCCGACCAAGATCTGCTACTCCAAAAAGAACCCTAGGGACTAGTGAACGTTATGGTCCCGTTCCTCCGCGTCAACCTGCTACCCCACCAATAATTCAAGTACTAAGACATGAACCACCAACCTCATCACAATCCAAAATCCAATCATCATCGCCAACTCCACTGGATAGATTCACAAAGCAAAGTTCAATGGAAAAAAGTAGATTTGATAACTTTATAAATACTGGAGCATGTAAATCACAGAAAAAAGATCATTCAAAGTTTTATACTGCATCTAATTTTCCACCTTTAACATCATCCACTCCGGGTGGTATGTGTTCACCAACGTATCCGAGGTCTAATCAAGGTATTTACAGTCTAGTTTCATCCACACCATCTGCCAATCATCTCAAGTCTACAGTCATGGAAAAAAACTTTTCACCTGGATTAAATAAAAGTTTGCACAAACAGCTTATCGTGAAAAAATCATCTAACCTCTCAAAACTCGGGAGAACTGATAACCCTGATAATGCCTCAGATCATATAAAAAATCAATGTGATACAAGCAAGATATCACTATATGATGGTCAAAAAAATCAATCATCTCTAAATGAGTCAGAAACTTTTCATGCCACCGAAAACCCTTCAGAATGTCTTACCGAATCAGTTAATTCAACTTCGACTTCCTTAAGATCCATGAAAAGGAAGCTACCTCTAAATACATCGAAAAGTGTCAATATTCTTTCAGTTGCTACAGATTTGGAGTCTGACTACCATGGTAACAAGAATGGACTTGTCATTCAGGATGAGAACTATTCTGATACAGGAGAACAAATTGCCACGAAACGAAAAAGAGGTGTTTCGTTTGGACCACCGCTTAGCCCCGAGCAATTCGACAAATCCTTACCTCCTTCAACTCCGGTTAAGCGCGGAGAGACACCAATAACCAAAGTTAATCATATTACACCTGCAAACGCTACATTCAGAACCAATCCTGGTTTATCTGTACGTCCATTAACTCCGTTTCCTTCCAAATCGAAATCAACAAGGTCCCAGCTTTCCGTTTTTTCTGAAAACACATTCAACTCCCCATCTTATTTTACAACTAGTAATAGAATTTCTGCTGTTATCTCATTGCCTCCTACACCTGACACTAATCTGCTAGACTCTGTTGACACGAACCTTACATGTTCTCCTGGAAGTAACATTGAAAACCCTGTTGTATCTGCAACATATTCTGCGCCAGTCAAAAAATCGTCTGCCTATCAAAAAGCATTGAAAAGACGACGCTCCCTGAACTTCACTGGGTCGACAGACAAAATCCCTTCACTACGTGCACCACCAACCACTCCCGTGTCTATGGCATTACTTTCAAGATCTACGAGTAAAGCAAACAGTCACATATCAACCTTAGAATATGAAAGCCTCGTGTCGCCATCACCTAGATACCGCTCCCGTGAAAGCGAAAATCCGTTGTTGCAATCGCCAAACGACATAAAGAAAGATGTTAAAACTCATATGCTACCACCACAACAAGCCAGTAACACAACTACAAAGACAAAGAAGCCACGACAATTCATCCGACATTCACTTCCAGTATACAATGTCCAAGAGACTATCTCAAACACAACAACAAAACACGTAACATTACCAACCAGAAAAACTCCAGGCAATACCTCTTTCCAAAAAAATCGACAAACCTCCGAAACCTCTTCGAATCTTCAGGTTAACAGCACGAAAGACACAAGTAGCCGCCCATCGTCCGTGCCACCTGCCGTGGTTCCTGAGGATGAGAGTGCAACACCGAAGAAGAGATTATCGTCGGTATCTCCAGCTGATGTTGTTGGTCTGAGTGGTGTTAAGAAGTTGATGAAGACTCCGAAGGCAGTGTATACACCACGAGTATCTGGTGTTGGTGATTTGTTTGTTGATGAGTCGAGCTCGAAGCGAGGTCGTGGTCGTCCATCGTCCGTGCCACCTGCTGTGGTTCCTGAGGATGAGAGTGCAACACCGAAGAAGAGATTATCGTCGGTATCTCCAGCTGATGTTGTTGGTCTGAGTGGTGTTAAGAAGTTGATGAAGACTCCGAAGGCAGTGTATACACCACGAGTATCTGGTGTTGGTGATTTGTTTGTTGATGAGTCGAGCTCGAAGCGAGGTCGTGGTCGTCCACCGTCCGTGGCTCCTGCTGTGGTTCCTGAGGATGAGAGTGCAACACCGAAGAAGAGATCATCGTCGGTATCTCCAGCTGATGTTGTTGGTCTGAGTGGTGTTAAGAAGTTGATGAAGACTCCGAAGGCAGTGTATACACCACGAGTATCTGGTGTTGGTGATTTGTTTGTTGATGAGTCGAGCTCGAAGCGAGGTCGTGGTCGTCCACCGTCCGTGGCTCCTGCTGTGGTTCCTGAGGATGAGAGTGCAACACCGAAGAAGAGATTATCGTCGGTATCTCCAGCTGATGTTGTTGGTCTGAGTGGTGTTAAGAAGTTGATGAAGACTCCGAAGGCAGTGTATACACCACGAGTATCTGGTGTTGGTGATTTGTTTGTTGATGAGTCGAGCTCGAAGCGAGGTCGTGGTCGTCCATCGTCCGTGCCACCTGCTGTGGTTCCTGAGGATGAGAGTGCAACACCGAAGAAGAGATTATCGTCGGTATCTCCAGCTGATGTTGTTGGTCTGAGTGGTGTTAAGAAGTTGATGAAGACTCCGAAGGCAGTGTATACACCACGAGTATCTGGTGTTGGTGATTTGTTTGTTGATGAGTCGAGCTCGAAGCGAGGTCGTGGTCGTCCACCGTCCGTGGCTCCTGCTGTGGTTCCTGAGGATGAGAGTGCAACACCGAAGAAGAGATTATCGTCGGTATCTCCAGCTGATGTTGTTGGTCTGAGTGGTGTTAAGAAGTTGATGAAGACTCCGAAGGCAGTGTATACACCACGAGTATCTGGTGTTGGTGATTTGTTTGTTGATGAGTCGAGCTCGAAGCGAGGTCGTGGTCGTCCACCGTCCGTGGCTCCTGCTGTGGTTCCTGAGGATGAGAGTGCAACACCGAAGAAGAGATTATCGTCGGTATCTCCAGCTGATGTTGTTGGTCTGAGTGGTGTTAAGAAGTTGATGAAGACTCCGAAGGCAGTGTATACACCGCGAGTATCTGGTGTTGGTGATTTGTTTGTTGATGAGTCGAGCTCGAAGCGAGGTCGTGGTCGTCCATCGTCCGTGCCACCTGCTGTGGTTCCTGAGGATGAGAGTGCAACACCGAAGAAGAGATTATCGTCGGTATCTCCAGCTGATGTTGTTGGTCTGAGTGGTGTTAAGAAGTTGATGAAGACTCCGAAGGCAGTGTATACACCACGAGTATCTGGTGTTGGTGATTTGTTTGTTGATGAGTCGAGCTCGAAGCGAGGTCGTGGTCGTCCACCGTCCGTGGCTCCTGCTGTGGTTCCTGAGGATGAGAGTGCAACACCGAAGAAGAGATTATCGTCGGTATCTCCAGCTGATGTTGTTGGTCTGAGTGGTGTTAAGAAGTTGATGAAGACTCCGAAGGCAGTGTATACACCGCGAGTATCTGGTGTTGGTGATTTGTTTGTTGATGAGTCGAGCTCGAAGCGAGGTCGTGGTCGTCCACCGTCCGTGGCTCCTGCTGTGGTTCCTGAGGATGAGAGTGCAACACCGAAGAAGAGATTATCGTCGGTATCTCCAGCTGATGTTGTTGGTCTGAGTGGTGTTAAGAAGTTGATGAAGACTCCGAAGGCAGTGTATACACCGCGAGTATCTGGTGTTGGTGATTTGTTTGTTGATGAGTCGAGCTCGAAGCGAGGTCGTGGTCGTCCACCGTCCGTGGCTCCTGCTGTGGTTCCTGAGGATGAGAGTGCAACACCGAAGAAGAGATCATCGTCGGTATCTCCAGCTGATGTTGTTGGTCTGAGTGGTGTTAAGAAGTTGATGAAGACTCCGAAGGCAGTGTATACACCGCGAGTATCTGGTGTTGGTGATTTGTTTGTTGATGAGTCGAGCTCGAAGCGAGGTCGTGGTCGTCCATCGTCCGTGGCTCCTGCTGTGGTTCCTGAGGATGAGAGTGCAACACCGAAGAAGAGATTATCGTCGGTATCTCCAGCTGATGTTGTTGGTCTGAGTGGTGTTAAGAAGTTGATGAAGACTCCGAAGGCAGTGTATACACCACGAGTATCTGGTGTTGGTGATTTGTTTGTTGATGAGTCGAGCTCGAAGCGAGGTCGTGGTCGTCCATCGTCCGTGCCACCTGCTGTGGTTCCTGAGGATGAGAGTGCAACACCGAAGAAGAGATTATCGTCGGTATCTCCAGCTGATGTTGTTGGTCTGAGTGGTGTTAAGAAGTTGATGAAGACTCCGAAGGCAGTGTATACACCACGAGTATCTGGTGTTGGTGATTTGTTTGTTGATGAGTCGAGCTCGAAGCGAGGTCGTGGTCGTCCATCGTCCGTGCCACCTGCTGTGGTTCCTGAGGATGAGAGTGCAACACCGAAGAAGAGATTATCGTCGGTATCTCCAGCTGATGTTGTTGGTCTGAGTGGTGTTAAGAAGTTGATGAAGACTCCGAAGGCAGTGTATACACCGCGAGTATCTGGTGTTGGTGATTTGTTTGTTGATGAGTCGAGCTCGAAGCGAGGTCGTGGTCGTCCACCGTCCGTGGCTCCTGCTGTGGTTCCTGAGGATGAGAGTGCAACACCGAAGAAGAGATCATCGTCGGTATCTCCAGCTGATGTTGTTGGTCTGAGTGGTGTTAAGAAGTTGATGAAGACTCCGAAGGCAGTGTATACACCACGAGTATCTGGTGTTGGTGATTTGTTTGTTGATGAGTCGAGCTCGAAGCGAGGTCGTGGTCGTCCACCGTCCGTGGCTCCTGCTGTGGTTCCTGAGGATGAGAGTGCAACACCGAAGAAGAGATTATCGTCGGTATCTCCAGCTGATGTTGTTGGTCTGAGTGGTGTTAAGAAGTTGATGAAGACTCCGAAGGCAGTGTATACACCACGAGTATCTGGTGTTGGTGATTTGTTTGTTGATGAGTCGAGCTCGAAGCGAGGTCGTGGTCGTCCATCGTCCGTGCCACCTGCTGTGGTTCCTGAGGATGAGAGTGCAACACCGAAGAAGAGATTATCGTCGGTATCTCCAGCTGATGTTGTTGGTCTGAGTGGTGTTAAGAAGTTGATGAAGACTCCGAAGGCAGTGTATACACCACGAGTATCTGGTGTTGGTGATTTGTTTGTTGATGAGTCGAGCTCGAAGCGAGGTCGTGGTCGTCCACCGTCCGTGGCTCCTGCTGTGGTTCCTGAGGATGAGAGTGCAACACCGAAGAAGAGATCATCGTCGGTATCTCCAGCTGATGTTGTTGGTCTGAGTGGTGTTAAGAAGTTGATGAAGACTCCGAAGGCAGTGTATACACCGCGAGTATCTGGTGTTGGTGATTTGTTTGTTGATGAGTCGAGCTCGAAGCGAGGTCGTGGTCGTCCACCGTCCGTGGCTCCTGCTGTGGTTCCTGAGGATGAGAGTGCAACACCGAAGAAGAGGTCATCGTCGGTATCTCCAGCTGATGTTGTTGGTCTGAGTGGTGTTAAGAAGTTGATGAAGACTCCGAAGGCAGTGTATACACCACGAGTATCTGGTGTTGGTGATTTGTTTGTTGATGAGTCGAGCTCGAAGCGAGGTCGTGGTCGTCCACCGTCCGTGGCTCCTGCTGTGGTTCCTGAGGATGAGAGTGCAACACCGAAGAAGAGATCATCGTCGGTATCTCCAGCTGATGTTGTTGGTCTGAGTGGTGTTAAGAAGTTGATGAAGACTCCGAAGGCAGTGTATACACCACGAGTATCTGGTGTTGGTGATTTGTTTGTTGATGAGTCGAGCTCGAAGCGAGGTCGTGGTCGTCCATCGTCCGTGGCTCCTGCTGTGGTTCCTGAGGATGAGAGTGCAACACCGAAGAAGAGATCATCGTCGGTATCTCCAGCTGATGTTGTTGGTCTGAGTGGTGTTAAGAAGTTGATGAAGACTCCGAAGGCAGTGTATACACCGCGAGTATCTGGTGTTGGTGATTTGTTTGTTGATGAGTCGAGCTCGAAGCGAGGTCGTGGTCGTCCATCGTCCGTGCCACCTGCTGTGGTTCCTGAGGATGAGAGTGCAACACCGAAGAAGAGATTATCGTCGGTATCTCCAGCTGATGTTGTTGGTCTGAGTGGTGTTAAGAAGTTGATGAAGACTCCGAAGGCAGTGTATACACCACGAGTATCTGGTGTTGGTGATTTGTTTGTTGATGAGTCGAGCTCGAAGCGAGGTCGTGGTCGTCCATCGTCCGTGGCTCCTGCTGTGGTTCCTGAGGATGAGAGTGCAACACCGAAGAAGTGTTTAGTGTCTCTGGTGAAGCTGAAAGTTGGAGTTTCAGCACGAGGGCCTACTCTACGGTCTGGTGAAGGTGTTGGCAGATCTGTAGTGACAGGCGTGTTGGATGGAAAAGTGAAGGCGAATAGTGACGCGATGGCGAAAGCTTTTGGAAGTAAGCGAAAAGCTCCTGGTAACAGTGCATTTGCAGTGATTAGTGGAAAGGAGACGCCTACTGAAACAACAGAGCCGCCAGCTAAACTTGTTATGAGAGGGCGAAAAGCGGAGACTAACAGCGTGGTTTCAGTCAACGAAGGACAGGAGACACCCACTGAAACAACAGCGTCGCCAGCTAAACCTCTAAGGAGAAGGCGGAAAGTTGAGACTAACAGCGTGGTTTCGGTCAACAAAGGACAGAAGACACTCACTGAAATTACTGAGTCTCCAGGTGAACGTGTTACGAGAAGGCGGAATGTTGAGACTAACAGCGTGGTTTCAGTCAACAAAGGACAGAAGACACGGACTGAAAGAACTGAGTCTCCAGGTGAACGTGTTACGAGAAGGCGGAAAGTTGAGACTAACAGCGTGGTTTCAGTCAACAAAGGACAGAAGACACGGACTGAAAGAACTGAGTCTCCAGGTGAACGTGCTACGAGAAGGCGGAATGTTGAGACTAACAGTGTGGTTTCAGTCAACGAAGGACAGAAGACACGGACTGAAATAACTGAGGCAGTAGCTAAAGCTTCAACGAGAAAGCGAAAAGCGGAGACTCACAGTGCGGTTGCAGTGATTAAATTACAGAAGACACCCACTGAAACATCTGAGTCGCCAGCTAAACCTCTAACGACAAGGCGGAAAGTTGAGACTAACAGCGTGGTTTCGGTCAACAAAGGACAGAAGACACGGACTGAAAGAACTGAGTCTCCAGGTGAACGTGTTACGAGAAGGCGGAATGTTGAGACTAACAGCGTGGTTTCGGTCAACAAAGGACAGAAGACACGGACTGAAAGAACTGAGTCTCCAGGTGAACGTGTTACGAGAAGGCGGAATGTTGAGACTAACAGTGTGGTTTCAGTCAACGAAGGACAGAAGACACGGACTGAAAGAACTGAGTCTCCAGGTGAACGTGTTACGAGAAGGCGGAATGTTGAGACTAACAGTGTGGTTTCAGTCAACGAAGGACAGAAGACACGGACTGAAAGAACTGAGTCTCCAGGTGAACGTGTTACGAGAAGGCGGAATGTTGAGACTAACAGCGTGGTTTCGGTCAACAAAGGACAGAAGACACGCACTGAAAGAACTGAGTCTCCAGGTGAACGTGCTACGAGAAGGCGGAAAGTTGAGACTAACAGCGTGGTTTCAGTCAACAAAGGACAGAAGACACCCAGTGAAATAACTGAGTCAGCAGCTAAAGCTTCAACGAGAAAGCGAAAAGCGGAGACTAATAGTGCAGTCGCAGTAAATAAGAAACAGAAAAAGCTTCCTGATACAGTCAAATCTGCAATTCCAGTCCGCATAACTCGATCAAGATCATGATGTGAATATCTTCTAGAAACAGACGTTTATTTGGGTTTAATTTCTATGTATGTATGTATACTCTAGGGAAAATTGCTATTTATATTACGCGTTTTCTTGGCTTATCAAATAATTCAGTGCTATAATATAATAACTACGGGTACATTTTGTTCACCTTAACTATCTATCAATTGTCATCCATTGTTTTATATAATTCTGATTACCATGATGTAGTTTATTCATTATTATTTTTCTTTATTTTCTTATTATCTATATATATATTGTTAGTAATATTGATATATACATGTATATATTCCCAATATTTTATTCAATTTTTCAAATGTAATATTCTTCTTGTTTTTGTTGCACATGCATACATGTATATTATATTGTTTACTGTTACTTTGTATTTTATTGCGATAAATCCTTGTGTTCTAGGCCGAAAAATGTTATCTAGGTAGAGGTGTTTTCTGCCCTGTTTACGCCATCTCCGGCGTAGAAGTGATATCCGACTGTCTATCGAACAAAGCGTGTGTGTACTGCTCACCACCCCACCAGTGTATACTCTGTCCAACTTTATGGTTGTGAGACCTGGCCATTGATGAAAGTGGAAGACATACAAGGGCCGGGTAATTGTCTTTGATCATAGGTGGTGTCTGAGGTAGGCTGACGTGTAAGGACTTGGATCCAAGGCCTACCAGGCTGAGAGACAATTACTTAAGCTTATAAAGCATATGGAGAGACGTTGACACCAGCATTGCATACACCTTAAAACACATGAACAGCTTTTTAGTTATCATGACAATCTGATTTCTGACGTGTATTGTTATAAAGTAGGGAGAATAATATATATATATATATATGCTTGCGTTATTTCAGAGAAGTGATTTTTGAGCAAACCTTTATTTTAATTTGTAGATAAATATGCCATATGATCATGCTTATATATTTGGGTTTTGTTTTTCAATCTGACATTTATATTTTGAGCATTCAAACTACGTGTGAAAATGTCCACTTCTTGTATATTTGCGCACCATCTAGTTTTTATCTATTTCGCTGTCATATTTATTAAATCAAGTTGCTGAATTATTTTAGCTCATTTCACAATGGAATTCATTCGTATTTGAGGGGATAGGTATTCATAATTTGTTTAATAGAGGAGATTTGTAGCGCTCAGGTGGGTGGTATATAAATATGTGTAATGTAGTTGTGGTGTTCTCTGTCTAGTTTGTCATATTTAATTGCCAATTGCGTTTTCACATTCTATTTCTAGATGTGCTAATGGAATTAACCCTAACTGACTTCAATGACTTAGGCAGAGATTGACTTGTTACCATCAGGGAATAATAGTCTCGTTGACTTAGAATATGCAGACAATATTGTCCTACCTGCCAGGTGAAGACTCTGATAAAATGCAGCAGAGTCTTCTGAACACCTTGAGCTGTGCAGCAATCTTCGAATGTTTCTCTTGCGACTCGACCTTGTCAAATGTGAGACGATGCTACAGGACTGGAGTACATTGACTCCTAGCTTAGAAATAGGAAGTGAAGTGCTAGAACGCGTTGACCACTTCAGTTATTAGGAAAGTTTTATCAGCCGCTATAGGTTGATCGCGGACAACATCTCAGCAGGGATACAGAAGCCTCGGTTTGCATACACCAGTTTACGCCGTTTTTCGCGTCGACGTGATATCCGGTTACCTATCGAATAAAAGGTGTTTGTACTGGTCAGCAGTATACTCTGTCTAACTTTATGGTTGTGAGACCTGGCCATTGGAAGTGGAAGACATACAAAGGTCAGGTAGCTGTCTTCGATCATAGGTGTCTGCATTCTGTCTTCCGTGTTAGATGGTGGTATAATAGGGTGAGCAATATTGAGGTTAGGCGTCCGTCGAGTGCTAGGTAAGGAGGGGAAATCAGTAGAGGAGGCTGTGATGATACATCGATTGAGATGGTTCGGACACGTGTTACACATGCATCTGTAGCCATCACCTTCCTCGACTGACGGTCAATGTTAGCTAACTGTGACATGGGATTGATGAGGTTGTAAAAGAGAGAGAGGTAGTAGTGGTCAAAGGAGAACATGGCTTGATCAGTCAATGAAATCGACAACAGTTAGTTTAATCGAGCCAGCCACGTAGGTGTAGGTGTAGGAGGTGTAGACTGGCTTCGTGGTTGGGGTCCTCGGGACGGTAAACACCAATGGCGACTGGAGACGGTTGGTGATATGGGTCAAAGTGATTGTTGTTAATGGCTGGCGGAGATGCATCCACTCCTTGTGACTTGTAATACCCAATGAAACTATATTGTTCTTCGATATTACTATTCTATTTGCCTGATATCTGTGTTAATTGTCTGTGTTCTTTCGTGTACATTTCCTTATACTCTCTTCTCTTGCTGTGTGTGGCAGTTGGAGGGTGAGTGGTGACTCGAACTGCTGCACATCGGTGCAAAGTTCTATGTTGATGAAACCAGTCAGTCAGTCTTTCCAGACAGCATGTTCAGCTCATGTTTTTAACATGAAGTGAACATGTTCGCATTCTGCATGGATGATACAAACAAAGTGTATGACGATAAAGGTTGTCTGAAGATCCAATTATAATATTCATGGGGAATTCAGACAAGTTCATTTTTTTTCATTGAAGCTTTCTGTCTGTGTCTGGATTCAACATAGAACTTGGCACCGAAGTGCAGCAGTTCCAGTTGCCACGTTCCAAATAGCACACAAAGGTAGACAAGAAAATGAGTGAAGAGAATCAATAGAGTTTTGACAAGTATAAGAGTGAAACAGAATGAGTAATGGTAGAAAGGAATATGAAAGATTACAGAGACTGAATACATCTGCGTAAGCCATTGACAACGATTTTGAGCCATGTCACCTATTGTCTTCAGCCATTGATTCTTAGAGTCCCGAGGGCGGGCCCCAACCCGGAAGACTGCATCTCCTTACCTGACTCAGTTTAACTGTCAAGGATTTCATGGATTGATGAGGCCATGTTTTTGTTTGTCCACCACTTACTCCTCTTTTCCAACCTGCACCTATATCAGCTAGTAATGCCCATCCGTCGGGGGAGGCGATGGTTAGGCATGCGCAGCATGTGACCAACTAATTCTCAAAATGTTGCTATGAAACTCATATTGTAACGACAGAAGACAAGGGCCAGGCAACAACAGATCGTTTTTTATTGAGAAAATCAAGAGGTATTTATAGATTTTTATGTACATGATTATTATTAGGGTTATTGTTAGCAGAGAGGCGACGTCTTCTGTTTGGTTGTTTTCTTGCTGAAGGTTATTTTGTACTGCTTGTGACCGTTTCTTAGGAAGTAAAGCCATATATCTGCGAATCGTATTTGTACACGTTAAGTGTGCTGTGATTGGTTGGTGAGTTCCTCAAAGCTAAGGATTTGTTATTGTTTTTTCTCATGACCAGTAGTTGTCGTCCCTTATGATGAGTCTTATTTCCAGGCTAATCATAAAATATTCGGCCGAGAGGTGTTCTACAGGAGGGAGTGCTTCAAAGTAACACCTTCTAGGTAATGTATCGGTATGATGACATCGCTGCTGATGAATTGAGTGAAGTCACAAAGAAAGCATATGGTTTCTGTCAGTGGAATATCGGTGAATAGAGAGACAGAAGAGGCATCTAGGGAGACCATTTTCTTATCTTCCAAGTTGACAGTGTTAATTGAATCAACAAAATCAACTATGTCGCGGAGGGTGTATGTCTCAACAGGTTTCCATTCTCCGGTCCAGGTATTTCGTGATTGAAGTGATATGGAGAGTTTATCATCCTATACTAATATCGGGTGAAGTGGAATATCTTGTTTGCGTTTTATGACTAGTGTCGAAAGGTCTTATTTCATGACAGATTTTGATGTAGACTAGATAATAAGTAAAGTGAAGCATAACTGATTAAAGTAATATACGATTAGGAGGTGATGATGAGTGAATATAATATAAGATGGTGAGTCAGTTACTTAGTTGTACTTTCTCCAGTGTCTATTTGTAGGACTGCTGAACTGGTCATTTATCCACAAATTGGTGTTCATTAAAGTCTCCTCTGGTTTTTTTTTTCAAGGGAAATTATGTCACGAACGAGCATTAGTCATAGAATCATCATAAACCCTGTGTGTACTGAACGTTTGACAAGTAGAGGTACTGACCAGGATCCTCCATAAAAGACCTGGTAAATTCCGGTCTTCTCCACGAAATGTTCTCTGTGTCAGGTTATTCCAACTTGCTGTCTTCACGTGACGGGGTGTCCCTCATAGAAGTGAAACAGTGGCTTCGAACGCCTTGCGCTTACAACTGGACTACTGGTGGATGGACAGGTGTAACTGTAGGAGATGGAGAACCCCCTAACTACAAACTTATGGTGGACATGGGCTGTTCCGGAATCCGAACAAATGGAATAGCGTATGAAACTGGTTTTTGCTATCAGAAGCCGTGATCCCTTAAGACAACTAACTACCTGATGCAGTCTGGGCGTTCGCGCATAATCTCAACTTCCGCGTATGCCGTATCTCTTGGCGCCCGTATTTTAGCAATTTTGTGTTCGAATAAATAATGGTACTGAATATCTGACTCTCTATATCTAGACTGTTCAACAGTGTGCATGCAGTCTGTCAAGACTGTCAGGTTACCAAGTTAGAGGCGCGTCAACCGTTAAGATGCTTTCTTACTTTACAAACTGATCAGCCATATTACTAATCTACAATCAATTAGCGATATCGAGACAGATCACTCAACTGTTACACTATGAGAACGGTGATTTCTGTATATATATTAATTACTGCAGAGAATAGTGAGACATTTTGTAGTTTACTCGTGAAGTCCACTCTGTCTTGACTTGAAGCAGACAATTTAGATCCGAATGTAAGATTTCATTCAAACTTTGTATTTATGCGGCTCATAACCTGCTCAAATTTGAAATTTGTACAACCGAAAAGCTGCCGTATTATATAAACTAAGTGTATTATGGGGAACTTTTTTTCAAATGTAACTGGTATCTCGGTCTAAATAGAGAGTGTGGTAGGTCATTCACATACCATTCAATATGTCTGCCGTGGACCATATATATGGATCATATTTTCACCCTTCGACAGATTCTAGAACATAGGCATTCCTACCGGCGTCCAACAATCATTATATTTCTTGACCTAAAGGCGGCATTCGATTCTGTCGACCGAGAGGTTCTCTGGCGATACTTGGCTGTAAAGGGAATGCCGAGAAAATACATTGCACTGATTAAGGCACTCTACTCATACTCATGCAGCCAGGTGAGGGCTTATGGCGAGTTGTCATCTGAAGTGGTGACGACTAGTGGCGTCCGTCAAGGATGCCCATTATCCCCATTCCTATTCAACTTCATCATAGACGTACTAATGGAC